CAATTGAAACTAATTCATATTAACCAGACAAGACAGAATTTCCACAATCTGAGACACTGACTGCAGCTAAGCTGGCGATCCCCAAGACAAGCTGGATATGCATGATTTTGTCTGAAAGTAGGTGGCAAACTCATCACAGTGGACTGATGATGACTTGGTTTCCTGGAGACGACTTAGATTTTCACCACCCGGAACAGTTCCACCACAATGCACTTTGCAGATGTAATGGCAATGGAGAAGGAAAACATCTTTGGTGCTGCCACTCTCACTGCCATGGCACAGTCCTTTACCAACTGTACCACAGTTGGTCAGCTTTGGCATGAGTTGTGAGCCACCTGCACTCTAACCATCTGACCTCCTACCTCAGATCTTTCATATACCAGTGGGGTCTGTACTGCTGCAGTATTGGGGATGGGTGTCTAGGTGCCACTGTATCTGTGGCCAAGGCCAGTATGCTATTTAAAAATTCAATTGGCCATTGACAGAGTAGCCATTGAGGTCAGCGGGAATATCCCCCAGACAGTTCTCAAATCCCACCAGCTCAATGAGTCTCTGTGGGCAGACTAACTTAACTGGTCTACCAGCAAATGATCATTATATCGAAATATTATCAAATATGTAAGCAGTACAAAAAAAAATTATAGAAACAGATTCCTTTTCTATGAGAAAATTATAGTTCTGTCTCATCATTTGTAATTTGTATCTTTCCTTGTGTATGCTGCATATGTTCTTCCCCATTTGTGTCACCAGTCACAGTATTAAATACTGTTCAATATGGTACTTATTAGTACTCCTTACCGTGAATGGGTCTCAGGGTACTGGGGTTTGGTTGTCTGACCATGGTTAGGACAAAAATCTATAACCAGGATATTTGCTGAGAGTCAGAAGCCAAAGTCAGGAACCAGATAACAAACCAAAAGTCTGGAGAAGGGTTTGAAGCAACAGTTGCAAACTTAAACTAGCTATGGAACAACTTGAGATATGCTCTAAATACCAGAACTAGGTTTCACACAAGTCAGTCTCACAGGGGGACCCAATCTGTGGTTATCATATCCCAGCTGAGAGATCCTGTTGTCTAGCATGTGCTCCTAAGACTCACCTGGGAGAGGCTGGAGGCCCCCTCTGTACACCTGAATTTGGTATCGGCAGATGGAGAACCTGCGGCATATAATCATAACAAGTCGGTTGTATTTCTGATGTTTGCCCAGTGCATTGACTTGCCCAGAGCTGGTATTCCTCATTGTGTATGTCAGGAGCTGAAAAGTTAGCTCTGTGACATTCTTCTGTCTTCAGTGAGTCCCATGAGAATCACTCCTACTCACTCCTAAGCACTGGCCCCACTTATAATCACTCTTAACCACTGGCCCTCTGGTCTTTGTCATTAGGGCCCTACCTTGAAAGCCACCTAGGTCATCACCAAGAAACTGCCTCATAAACCTCTGTCAGATCCAGCCTACCCACCTCCAAAATATACAGGCAAGGAACTGGAAGGCATGGGATATACAGGCAAGGAACTCAGACTCTTGATGCTCTTGATGCCAGGGACAAACTGGCAGCTCCTGCACAAAGCTGTGAACAGAGGTATGTTTATGGCCTGGTTACAAGAGCTTTCCAACACTTGCTCCTTTCTTGGTAAGAAGGAGACTCTGGAACACTTTAAGGTAGGTTGTACCAGGCTGGAGCCCATGAATTATTTCTACCTGATTTCATTTTGAGGAGAAATACAGGTTCCTCATGTTAAGCTTGGCTATATTTCTACCTTCACATTTTAATTCACTCACACCACATCAATGGCCTCATCCAATTATGAGAGCTTGTCAACCTTCTCCTGTTCTGACTCCAATCTTGGAGCTGGCCCTGGCAGCAGGCAGCTGCCCAGGGCAGGGCACAATGTCCCAGCTGCAGCTCTGATCTTGAGATCAGGGCTGGCAGCTGCCTGTTGCAGGAGCAGGAATATTGTCCCAGCCTTAGCTCCAAGATCAGAGCTGGTCCCGGCCCCCTCTCTGATCAGCTGATCAGAGCAGGGGCTGGGAAGCAAGCAGCTGCCCGGGGGAGGGGACAGTTCTCCCGTCCCCTGTTGCTTGAACTGACCAGGAGCAATTTGCCAGTCAGCTGTGTAACAATGCACTAATTAATCAGCTAATGCACAGTAAATCTACTACCTGTATTTACAGGTAGTAGAAAACTGTGTGTTAGCCTATTTTAATGTACAGCAGCTGCTGTGCACAGTTACAGAGCAACATTTTACTGTGCAGTAGATTAGTCTACAGGGCAGTAAAGCATCTTATATAGACACACCCGGCACGTTCTGTCAGCAGGATGACACTGAGGGAACTGAGACTGATACACAGCTGTCCTGTTCTTTATGAGCAAGTATATGAGGTACCACAGGACACGTGCACCATGACAGACACTGCTGTTCAAAAACACCTCTAGTATCATGGACCTGAGGCTTCCGTGCATATACTACAGAATTCAACTACAACATCCCAAAGAAGAACTCTGACTTCCTGGATTGTTTTTGAGATACAGAAGTAACTCTCCTCTGCTGCCAAAGACAGTTTTTTTTCTTTTTCTACTATGAAGATACACAAGATGTGTGCCCACTTTAAAAAGTGTGACTGTCTGTAACAGGCTTGGGTGAGCTCTCTCCCTGGAGTCTGGTGTCTCTAGTGGCCTGACTAGCCGGTTGGTGTTCCCACACTTCCTCTGCCTCCTATTTCTCACTTGCCATGGCTTGCTGTTAATGATAAAAAAGGGGAGCCTGCCTATGGAAGCTGGGGTGGCCTACTCCTTGGTGCCTGTTATCTCTTTTTCTCTCACTCCATGGGTCTACTCCCTCTTTAAGAGGGCCTTGGTCACTTTAGGGGCTAGCATTGTGACCTCCAGCCACCCCCATAGTCATGCTCATGCTTTGCAGATACCAATCAGTGTTTTGGGAGGGGGCCCCTGGCCCTGACTTTGCACTTGGCCCCACAAGGATCAAACTTCTATTGGGGCTTCCACCTTCCTGACTTCATCCCTTTTTTCTAGCTGGGCCCTACTACCCAGGTCCACTGTCCTGGACCTCAGCTTCTGGTCTCCAGCTCTGTCTCACCCTTTTGGGCTCTGGGCCCCCGGCCTTCATGTGGCAGCCCTTAGGGCCCCAAACCTCACTATGCAGCTTGCATGCTGCTCTGTCCCACCTGGAGTCCCTGATTAGACAGACCTCTCTAAGACCTAGATTAGACCACCCTCATTAGACAGCTCTATGCTGGGTCCCTCTCAGGCACTCCTGTGGCCTCCAAAGCACCCCCGTAGCCACAACCTAGTCCATTGGTCTTAAACTTAAGCATAACTACATGACCTATAAGCAAACAGAAATGTAAAGAAACTGCTTCGACAACAGCTCTCCCTGACTCTGGGTCAATACCCTACCGCTAGCTATTTTTCTTAGCTGTCTCTTGTTTTTGCTTTTGCGGGTAGCTTCGGTGTCCATAGGCCCATTTCCTGCAGTCAGTTTCCCTGGAAGTTCCACTTCCTCCAGCATGCAGGGCCAGACTGCCCCTTCTGGCTGAGGGCCTGTGCTTATATGGCTCAAGGTCCCACCCCCTTCCCATCATGTAACTCCTCAGCCAGACACAGGAGGTGCCCCTTTAACGAAGGACCAGCCTTGTAGTCCTCTGCTGCAGCTCCACACAGCCAGTTTACCAGGGGCTCCTGTTACTTTAAAAGAGTGCAGCAGGGTAAGCTGGCTGTGTGGAGCTGCAGCAGAGGAGCACAGGCTGGGGCTCCTGTTACTTTACAGCGTAGTAAATACAACCCTGGGTAGGGAGTTTTTTTGTGTGTAGCAGCACATGTGTAGATACTGCCCCTGGCTGGCTGCACATGGAGCATGCTGACCCCCCAAAACCCCTGCCAGCCCAGGCAGCTCCAACAGGGCTCCACGTGTTGCACATGAATAAACTCTGAAGCAATATACTCCAGAGTTTTTTGCTTCTAGGCACACATTCAAACAGTGCTCCCAGGAGCAAAAGACTCCAGAGCAATAAGCTCCAAAGTTTATTTGTGTGCATTAAATTTCATGTGTAGATGTGCCCAGAGACAAAAAAAACAACACATTCATGATCAGATTATGCCCAGCTGCTCCACAAGTGAACGAGATTTGGAGGAGAGAGATAAGAAACTGTCCTGATATTAACTCCATGGTGCAATAGTAGACTACAATAATAGTCACTGCCTTCGTTGTGTTCATCCAAATACAGCCATAAATATGTGATTCATGCCATATGTGGCCATGCTAGCCAGTACTGAATATATTTGGAACATAAAGTAAAGCTATGCATTAATTGCCATCAGTAGATTCAACAAAACAAAATGTTAGCTTATATCCTAAGTGCATTCAATACTTTTACATTTCTCACAGTCTTCCCCACAAGAGGCTCACAAGAAGCATGGGAAGGTAGTGAGAGGTAGGGCTACAGCTGGCCAGGAACTTTTCATCAGAATTTTGCTAAAAATCTGAATTTCCATGGGATAATCAAAAAAACCAGAATTATCCAGGGAATACAGGTCAGTGGTAGACTTCCTGCTTTGAATGTAGGAGGCCCAAGATTCAATCCCCAGCATCTCCAGAGGGGCTTAGAAATGATATAATTAATAAACAATGTAAGTTATTAGAAATATTGTAAATTTGCCAGGCATGGCAATGTACATTCAGTAAAATAACATCAAAATGGTAAGGACACTGAATTACAGAAAGTAAACTGGAAATCAAGCCTCACTTTTCTCTGTCTTGTCCTGTTCAAAAGTCACACATTGTACTAAATGTATTTTTAAAGCTGAAAAGATGTTAGCTTAGAGCTGACAAAATAGTTTAACTTTTAATATTGATGAGTAGGTATGGGTAGATAAATTATACTAACATATTACTAGTGACATAAAGATCATAACCCTATAATGATTTCAACAATGAGCTACAGATCTTTCAAATATTTCTTCACTTACTATTTTTTACCTACCTGATAGCTCTAATGACAGTTTTAAGTGCTGGGGTGAGATCTTCTACTGATACGTCACATTGACATCCTCTCTCATCATAAATATCATCTGTTCCAAGAGTGGTATCAGCTGCAAGAAGGAAAAGAAAGCTAAACAGCAAGTACTTTAAGACAAAACAAATATACATTTCCATAGCTTTTTAACCATCAGAAAATGGCAAGGTTTTGGAATTGCCATCTAAAAAGAGTAGTAATTACTTTAGAGATGGAGTACTATCAGTTTCTGATAGGGATTATATGATGTGGTTGATTGTGATGGCAGGGGACTGGACTCAAGTGACAGAGAAGACCCTTCCAAACCTACTTCAATGTTATCTAGCCTGGGAAACAAAGGGCCCAGTTCTGTGGTTTTGTTTCCACCTTTACTTTGAGACCAAACGAAAAAATAGAAATTAGAGTGGAAAAAAGTCACTGCACTTTATTAGATCATTCATCCCCTGTTCCTGTTAGCATATTTGAATGCATTCAAAGTCCAAGTCCATTTGGCACCTCAATATTACCTCATCACACTCTCCATTTTAAGGAGAGGCAATGGGTAATACTGGAAAAATTAGAAGACATTTAATAGATAATCAGGTTGTATTATGATTATGATTACTATTTTATAGCCACATAAATACATAGCATATAACAGAAAAAGTTCCTGTTCCAAACAGCATATTCATTCAGTGTGAGGACAACTGAATGACCAAATGCCCTACTGCAGGTAAAAGTTCTGTTTAACCAAAGGAAGACATGGAATGGATTTCATGCCTGTTCAGCTGGCCTGCATAAATCTTCTTAGCTACTTACGTATTGCATGTTGCTCTCCAGAGATGAGAGATGAAGGCAATCTGCCATGCAGAAAAGCCTTTGTATCCACTATTTACGTAACCCTCTCCACTGTCCTTAACATGCTAGTTTAAGTTACAGCATTATTATTAATGTATTAATTACAATGTTCAAAAGTGTCTTACGTGCCTCAGCAAATATAAAGACAAGAATGCATGCCTGGAACAGCTCACAATCCGAAATAAGGACAAGGCACAGTGGAGAGGTATGCAGGAGAGGAGTAAAACAAGGTCATACATTAAGTTAGGTAGAACATGCATATTTTGAAGGTAAGCAAAACACAGCAGGTTTGGTTTTAGAGTAGACTGTTTCCTCTTAAACACTTCACTCGTTGAATTTCACCCACTGGGGAGTGAATGTATTCAACATATGAGTATATCTGTTTGTCTTAGAAGGTGACTGGAGAACAAGAGTGATGGATGATGGATGAAATATCATTTTCTAGACATGAGCTCATCAGAGGCCTGAGCATCCCAAAAAACAACAGGTGAAACATTGGGAATGGGTGGGAAGCAGTTAGGGAAGAGATCCATATGTGTCTGTAGGCCTGTCAGACAATCAAGCCCAAGCCTTCTATTATAGCTTTATGTTGCATAAAACCAGCAGATGAACAAAAGATGAAAGAAATTTTTATTAGGAAATAGTGCATTGTAATTTGCTGATTTCTTTTAAATCTAGGAAGACAAATATTTTAAGAGACATAGTATTATTGCCAAGCTACCTGCATTGGTATACTTATTGCTGGGTCAGTGTCTCCATCTTATTTCTTTCAAATCTTTAATGCTTATCTTTAAAAACTGCCTTGCTGAAATCTGATAGATAAGCCTGTGTCCATATAGCTAATTTTTGCTTCCAGTGTTAAAAAAAAATACTTGAGATATACTTTAAGACAGGAAGATTGTTGCTTTTTGTCTCACTTTTTTGGATGAGAAATAAACATCAAATTTGGGACACAATTTACTCCCTAGGATGCTGACTCGCACTAAGCTTCTGCTTGGCACAGCTCAGAAAGGAGATGGTAAAGATGACTCTAAGTCACTTTTATGCCTTCTCTGATCCATGGGCTGCAACTGCCTCAGCACAACCTAAAACAGGAATGGACTGATAATTAATATTTCACAAATGAACTTTGAATAACAGAGAGTATATTGCTTGGTCCTCTGCTGCATATTACATATATTACACAATTAACTGATTAATCATGCAATAAATTTAGACTGTCCACACATGCAAAGTAATTATCACATGATAAAAATGACTATCCATCTATAAACAGAGCCAACCAGCTATAAAGTTAGTGCTTAAAAATGTGTAATAACTCTATAGCTGGGTTCTATCCAGCTTTAAGTTGAATTGTAGTAGTGCCCTTGGTCAAGATGACAAGTAAATAGGTGGCACAGTGGGGAGCTAAACTTGTGTCCCTTACTAGTGCCCAAACCTTTGGCACCTTTTGAATCGTACTGAATTGGTACTTCCAGAAGAATCATCTGTTAGCTATAAAAACCAGGAGATGTTCTACAACATCTCTAATCATTCCTTCTTTTCCCTCCCATTCCCCCTTCCCCCCAATAAAAACATCTTTGAAAAAGCCTCAGTTTTATAACCAAAATTGTTTGTTTTAATAAAGAATAATATTAAAAGCTTTGGCAATGTTTTCAAATGATACTTATGATACTATAATGAGACTCAAGGCCTGGAATTATGTGATGTATTCTTCCCTCTGACACTGTTTTACATGCTTTGGCACCAAGGATGCAAAATTATTTTGTGTATAAAGTAGGCAAGCCTCACCATCCTCCTTCCAAATAAAAGGCTTAGATGCCTGCCACCAATATTAACTAGTTGAAATGGACTATGTAATCATTCTGTTATTTTATTTCATGTACATCACCTTGGAGCTCATCTCCACACGTGCTAAAAATTAAAATAATAACTTAAAGCCATAAATAATGATGAACTTTTCACATGCCCCACCCTTCTGTCCCCGATTAGCCTTTCTAATAACTTCCCCCATTGCTGTGATGTCCTAGTTCACTCCTCAGTATTATGGTGAGTCCTTTTATTCCAGTGCTATTCTCATTGATAATCTAGAATCGTATTCTACTCTGTTACAATGGTGCTTATTGGGAAAAGCTGTTCAAGTCAACAATCAATTGTAAGAACAGAAGGAGTGGAGTTTAAAATAAATGTATTTGTAGATGGTGGCCTCTCTGATACAATTTCTGGATCTTGTGCTGAGTGTAGGTTAATTAGTGAAAGAGGTATTTTAGCACAACACACCTGTGCAGAGTTGGCATGGGAACAGAATCATGCTATCTGTGCAGCTTTCTATGTAGTTCACATGCAGATGCAAAGGAAAAAAGACCCTTCAAAATATATTTATAGACACACAATGGAAAGTTCCTGTAAATTTAAGCCAGCACGAAAAAGAGGTGCTGTTCCTAATAAATTACTTTTTTTTTTTTCTAATATTTCCACTAGCATAAGTTTCTCTCAGCATGGCAGAAGCTCAGTACCATATGTGTATGATCCTGCTGAGGAAAAGCTGTAAGCCAGTTGTGTTTCAGATGAGAAACATTCACATTTCTTTATAACACTCAAGGGGAAAAGTTGGAGAAGAATTTGGAAAAATTTCCAATTTAGATTCCCACTGAAATCAAAGTTCATGCTCTGATGAATTTTCCAGTGAAATTTTATGTATGCATCATAGTTTCAAGAAGAGCAGCTCTTTGCAACCTTTTCAGTCCTCTGTGAGTGCATATCTTAGGTAAGAGGCCTGGCTTGCTGCATCTAACTCATGATGGAACCAGGCAGTTTGACTACTTTTAGACTGGGGACACAGACAGAAGTTATATTTTTTGTATGAATGGCCCCCTGAAAGTGCTCTATAGCTGTGCTATGACACACATGCATGGCTGCAGAGCTCTTTAAAAGTGGCTGGTCATGAGACAAATTAACGCTCATCAAATGAGGTATTAGATGAAGGTGCTCCACTTTAGAGCACCTTAGGGAACTTGTTTTCCTTAGCATTAATTTGTGGTGCAATCAGGGCTGAGCTGATGAAGCCCTGTCCTGTCCCTGGGGCTGTCAGCAAGGGACAGGGAGCAAGCTGCCAGCTGGGGTTTACTCAGCCTGAGCTGGAGGGGGCCTGCATATAAAGCACCATGGCTAGGGACAGACATTGAAAAAGCCGGAGTCTGAACTGATTCAACCTTTGCAGGTTAGTGTAACCTGCCTAGGTTGAACCGGTCTGTAACAGCACAGACATTCCTTCTGGACTGAGCCAATGCAGGCATATGGCTGCAGTGGCTCAGGCCAGGAGCGGTGTGGGGCGGGGAGTGAGGGGTGCTAGAGCATGCCCTCCAGTGCAGGGGAGCTGTGCTGGGGGGTGTGGCCAATCTGGGCTGAACTGGCCAGGTAAGGGTTTAATTTCCCGCTCCCTGTCCCACTGGCACGGACCCGATCCGGGTCTGCCAGGCTCTTGCCTAGACCTGTTCATTGTGTATCTGCTGATGTATGAAAAATGCAGTTAGCCTTGTTGATCGCTTCGTCACATTGACAACTCATGTTCATCTTGGAGTCAGCTATGACTCCAAAATCCCTTTCTGCTGCTGTGTTGCTGAGAAGGCCATCCCCCAGCCTGTAAGTGTGTTGGTGGTTCTTTTTGCCCAGGTGCAGCACTTTGTACTTGTCTGTTGAACTGCATCCGATTTCGTTCTGCCCATTTTTCCAACATGTCCAGATGTGCCTGGATTCACTCCCTACCCTCTGGTGTGTTAACTTTGCCCCAGCATTTGGTATCATCTCTGAACTTGAACAGGGTACTCTCCACACCCTCGTCCAAGTCACTGATGAAGACATTGAATAGCACCAATCCAAGGACCGAGCCTTGCAGGACTTCAGTGCCCACATCTTTCCAGGTCAATATCAACCTGTCCACCACCACTCTCTGGGTGCAACCCCTAAGCCAATTTTCCATCCACCTGACCATGCAATCATCTATGTCACAGCCTGTCAGTTTATTTACGAGGACAGAATGAGACACTGTATCAAAGGCCTTCTTAAAGTCTAGGTAGATGACATCTACCTCGACTCCTGCATCTAAGGATTTTGTGACCTGGTCATAAAAAGAAACAAGGTTAATCAGGCAGGATCTACCTGCAATGAATCCATGCTGATTTCCCTTTAGCATTATTTCCCCTGCTGGGCTTCCACAAATGTGATCCTTAATGATTTTTT